GCTGGCGCGTTGGTGAGCCCAAACGGCATCACCACGAACTAGTAATGACCATAACGTGTTCGAAACGCGGTCTTCTCCACGTCTTCCTCCCTCACTCTGACCTGGTGATATCCGGATCTCAAATCGATCTTGGAAAACCAAGATGCACCCTACAGCTTATCGAAAAGATCATTTATCCTCGGGAGTGGATAACGGTTCTTCACCATTAACTTGTTCAACTCCCTATAGCCAATGCACATCCTGTACGAACCGTCCTTTTTCCTGACAAAGAGGATCAGTGCTCCCCAAGGAGAACTACTTGGTCGAATAAACTGCTTACCCAACAGCTCCTACAACTGAGATACCAACTCCTACATCTCTGCGGTGCTAGATGGTACATCGCCTTAGCGATAGGGGCCGCACCCGACACTAGATCAATCCTGAACTCTACCTGCCTCACCGGAGGCACTGCAGGTAACTCCTCTGGAAACACATCATAAAACTCTCTAACCACTGGAACCTCTGAAACTGAAGCATGATCCCCAATCTGTGTATCCATCACATCTGCTAGATAACCGGCACACCGTGCTGAATGAACTGCCGAGCTCTGGCGGCTGAACAAAGCCTTGCTCCCACTTTGGTGCCCTCACCATACACCACCAGCTCTCCCCAACTTGGGGTTCGAACTACCACTCGCTGTCCCTCACAGTCGATCATGACGCCAAACCAACTGAGCCAATCCATCCCTACGATCACACATACTTCCCCCATGGGAATAAAATCAATCGGGAAGGATACCCCAAAAATCTCCAATCTGCATCCCCGGTAGACCGATGAAGCAGAAACCTCGTGTTCGTTGGCTATCGAAACTCGCAACGGACACTCTAGCTCATCTACCGACACACTGAATTCTCTACTAAGAGTATGAGACACAAACGACCGACTCGCCTCGAGTTGAATAAAACCAAAGCAGGCAAAGATTTTACTAAAAACGTACCTAATCATAGGTACAACTGATAATCATACCTCATATATAATAACTGAAACATAAAATAGAAACATACCAACAACCACATCCGATGCTGCCATGGCCTCCTAGGCCGTGAGTTGGAAGGCGCGCCCCTGAGCCTTTGGAGGCTCCACCTTGACTGGTCTCCCATCCCCAATCCTCAAAGTAGCCGATGTGGATCCCTACGCTGGCTTGGAGGCGAGCTGCGGACAGTTGGTCTTCACGTGACCAACTTGATGATAATGGTAACAAATCCTCATATCTGCTGGAGGGGAGGACTTGCGATAGTCCCTAACATAGTTCCCCTCCTTGCCACATTTGTGGAAACCACCTCATGCTCGACAAACCCTAGAATGACCCCTGCCACACTTTCCACAAGTGCGACTCTGCTGACCCTCGGTCCGAGTATCAGCGGTCTTGGACCGCTTAGGTGCCGGCTGAGATTGTGCTGGAACCTAACGTTGTTGCTTCAACTGCAACTCTATCTCCAACTCACACCGCCTCGCGGCTTCCTGAAGATCCAAAAGAGTCTCACAACGTTGCGTAGCAACAAACTGTCGAATATTCGTCTTGTGCATACTCAGATAACGAGTCATCTGAGACTACTCTGAAGCAAAATCCAGGCAAAACATAGCCCTCTCTGTGAACATACGAGTGATCTCCATCACTGACTCCCCATCTTGCCTCAATGTTAAAAACTCCTGAGCAAGCCGCTCCTGCTCAACATGTGGAACGTAGCGGGTGCGGAACATATTCTGGAACTGCTCCCATGTAACAGCAGCTCGCTGATCATCAGTGTACGACCCTGTCATCAATCTCCACCAATTCTTTGCCCCAAGCCTCAACAGGTTCAGGTAACACCTGACCTTCTGCTCAGATGGACATGAACACGTGAAGAAACATCCCTCCACGTCAGATAACTACCTCATAGCCTTGATTGCATCCTACGTACCATCAAACGTCGGGGCTTCGTGTTATCGAATTCCTGATATTGGAAAGCCCTGCCGGCTCCTCCTCCAACCCTTGCCGCTGTTACAGCCGATGTGGTTGCAGCGACAGTTGTCTCTGCTAGAGCTGCATGCCACTCATCAAAGTACTCATCCATCATGGTCTTAATCGACCCAAACATCTCTGGCAGTTGCGCTCGGAACGCCGCAACAAGCTTGTCGAGCAGAATCTCCCGGATCCTGGCATCCAAATCCTCTGTCCCTATCTGTACCACGAGCTCAGGTGCTACCGGCAATTCTGACCCTCAGTCCCTCGATCCTGATCCAGATCCTGACCCTGATCCGGATCTAGTAGTAAAATGTCTCGTCACCACCACACTGAAAAATATAACCAAGACGTCAGATAAATGACATAATATCGGGAGACCAATTCCCAAAACCCTAGGATTTGTGACTTCCTTGCTACGCGTATGGGTCATGTGCTTTTAGTAGTACGGGCCCATACTACCTTCCACCTACCCATATTTGTCTCAAGTATCACCACAACGCCATAACACTATCATCAACATATTATGCGCTCAACCCTCCCTCCTAGGGGAATATCGACTATCTCGCAACTGGTCTCACAGCTCACACATTCAAGAAACTTTCACCAACCCTGTAGCACTAGTGTATACTAGCCACACATAACGTGGGACCCGATAGACTTTCGAATATCCAATCCTACACTAAGGTCCTAGCCTAGCACTAGCATGCTGTTCTATCATATCATAATATCAAATAACTGTACGGTATTTTGGGGTTTACTTACAGGCTCCGGCTGATCGTACCCTCTGCATCCTCCATCCTTTATTTTGAAAACCATTTTAGTATTTATTCCGAAACTTCCCTTGATTTGAGACTGGATTCACACGAGCGTTCCTCCAATTCACTCAAACCAAGGCTCTGATACCAACTTGTCACATACAAAATTTTACGCCAAATTTAAACCTTTTCAATCATAAATAAAATCCAAATAGTATTTGTTTAAAAATTATTTTCAAATCATTACTCATCAGAGTGTCCCAATAGCTAGATCAAAAGGATGAGGAGCGATACGGTCACGCCTTCGCCTTGCCATGATCTCCTGAAGTACCTGAAATAATAAACTGAAAACTGTAAGCCCGAGGGCTTAGTGAGCTACCCCCAAAATACCAATACCACCCTGATAACACCATATCAGTAATAGACAATCAATAACATGCATACTGGGCCATTGGCCTGACTGAACCGCTCTACAGGGCCTACAGTTTATCTGATCATATCCCAAGCCTTCGGCATGATTGGACCACCATGTGGGCCTACAGTCTCCCCGGACTGCTCATAGGGTATGTTGGCCTTCAGCACAAAGCCGAACCGTCTCAACCCAACCAACAAGCAAAATAACCAAGTGTGCATAACAATCATATACTATCATATACAAACATCAAACATATTTATCTCACTGATTATCAATCATAGAATTTTCTCGTAACTAGAGCACCGACCTAGTAGGTCACTAACATACCAATCCCTATGGATCATAAGAGCATAATATATTGTCTATCCTGATTCCGATTTAACAAATCATAACTACATGTAGCACACCATAACAACAACAACTTAAGCACCGAACTTGGTGCTGTAGACCCTATTCATATAGTGAGGATAACTCAACTTGCAGATGTCGACTCGGTAGATGAACTCCAACTCTTGGATCACTGTCAAAAACTCCAACACCTAATACCATAATATAATTATACCCATCAGTTCCCAACCTTTCAAGGTACCCCAAAAGCCAACTAATAAAACCCTGGTCAAAATCAAGGTCATCAGTCAAGGTCAACAGTCCATGTTGACCCTAACTCGCCGAGTACCCTCGGCTACTCACCGAGTTCCTTAAAGTACTTGCCCACTCGCCTAGTCACGGAGTGACTCGTCGATTTCCATTGGTTTACGCTTGAACTCTAAGGCCATTCATCGAGTTTACTTCTTTGAACTTGACGGTTACACACGCATACATAAATTGGGGATCCATCAACCGACTCGTCGAGTTGTTCATACAACTCGTCGAGTTCTATGGCAATCTTCATCGGACCCACCGAGTTGTTCATCCAACTCGTCGGGTCTAGGTCTATCTTCATATGATTCGCCGAGTCGACCTTGCGACTCGTCGAGTTCCTTCAATCCTTAAGCCATACAGACTCTTTTAAGCCATGCATTGGCTCCAAATTACAGATCCAAGCTTTTAAGGCATGCATTTCACGTAAAGTTGCAAACTTTACGTGCATGCATGGCTAAAAAGGCTCTTAATGTCAAATTCAAGCTCACAATAGGGGGGGTTCATACTCAAGGGGCTTCATACATGACCAAGCTTGGAGCTTTATGACTCTAGAACCCAAGGAGGGTCCAGATCTGAAGTTACAACTTCAGCTCTAGCTCATGTCCCACACTATCATCTCAATCAAACCATAAAAACCCTACATCTCAACCATATGAGGTCTAGAAGGAAAATGAAGTAAAGGTGATGACTTGATACCTCCAAATGATGCTAACTGAGGTAGATTTCTGATTCCCACACCTTCCTTGCTTCTAGACTCTTTCCCTCCAAGTTCTTCCTTTCCAAAAACCTCCTTTCCAAAGCTTAAGACACACAGGGATGAAGCACCACACGAATTAGGGTTTTCTGAGCTCTCAAGGACTATAAAGAGGCCAAAGGAGGCTTATGCTTCCTTAAATAGGGTGCAAAACCCCGGGATCTAGGGTTTCTTCTGCCGGTTCCTACTCGTGAGTTCTTCATGGAATCGACGAGTAGGCCACTAAACACGCAATCCCACCCCCCGCTGGCACTCGATGATTAGGGCAACCAACTCGTCGAGTAGATCTTAAAACCAAATAAACTTCCATTTAAATCAACATGTGAGAATTAGGGCTTTACAATGATGCTATTAGACTTCTCGTTTTGGAGCAAAAAACGATACTTGCCAATTATTTTGTATGTGAGCTTTTATCAATGGTAGATATTATTTATGCCAACAATCGTTTAAAATGCATAAAAGGAGTCGTTCAATAATATGAAAACAAATGTAATGATAGTAATAAGATACATAAATACTCATCAAATATTGCAAGAGAGGAATTTAATACTTTTGGTAGGACATAAGCAGTTTTCCCCACTTCTACGATATTAAAAAGAATACGCAACCAATATTCGGTTGAAAAGTGAGATTTTTGGTAAAAAAATATCTTTAAGTACGATGCTATTATTTATAAATTTTAGACAATGACTCCATTAAGAGCTTTTCAAGCTTCATTCGTTCATGATACTTATGCTGAACACATAACTACTTCTTTTGAACGTTGAGACTATCATGTGCTTCAATGCCATAAACCACCAAGAAGTAAAACACCAAATTCAAAACTTATCTTTGGAGATATTATAAATGGAGTATCCATAACCCATACCTGGAATTAAGAACGAAAGAAATTTTGAACAAATGCAAGTAAATATGCATAAATATCACCGGTTTTAAGCAAACAAAGATTAAATGTTTACTTGTCCTATGATTCCATACGTCCTTCCTACATAACAAACTTTACTTGTCCTATGTTCACATTTCTTGATGACTAAAAAATTTTCATTGTTTATACATACTTGATTTTAATACCAAGAATTCAAAAAACAAAAAATAAATAAATAAAGCAAAAACATTTAACGTGTAAGCAGGATTCCATAATCCTATGAATGTATTAAACTTCTTGACAAATCTGTTTTGGCTAATTAGAGATTAGGTTCTATAAACCCTTTTTAGTGATTTCCTATAAATTTCAACATTTTAAGATCACTTTTCGTATCATGCCCTACAACTGTATCCATCAAAGAAAAATAAGATCCAAACGGGTTGCCCTCTAAGGCATGGTATCAAACAAACAATTTACTTATATTCCCATCAAATGAATCATCTTAAACCTAGATTTGGAAAAATTATAAATTAGGATGAAAGTATAATTTCATCATAAATACCTTTTGTCATTCTGATGGAGACAAATATTTCACCCGTTCAGTCTCACCAACAAGCACCTTCATAGATGAAAAAGAAATATGACCAAATCAGAAAAACCAATTTTAAATCTTGAAAATGACAAACAATGAAAAAAAAAGAGCTAACTCGTCTTGATCCCAATATTAATTGGAAGTAAGGCCCCGACCATTCTTTTTGCATCAAACCAAACTAGACACTTTTTATAAGTAAAAGAGGATGAGTGTGACATTCTTTTACCCTATGTGATTGTCAAACTGGGGAGGTATTGGACTTCTGCAAAAGTCAAAAAAGTGATATTAGTAACCTAATTCGTAACACAAAGAATATCTATTTGGACTGCCTAATTCAAGAAAATGTACAAAAATGTCTAAGAAATAAAGTTGTCATGAACAATAAATTGGTGCCAGTTCAAGTAAAATTAAAGACATTATAGTTACAAGTTCAAGTAAGAGCTTGTATATAAAGCTTGTCAAAACATCATTGTTTCATTTGTTGAGATCTATTAATAAGGAGAGTATTATCCTTCTATTAATTTCCATCCCCCCCCCCCCCCCCCCCTCCTCTTGTTTACACTAACTTATCAATCTCCAAAAACAATGGAGACGAATGCAATAGCCAACATCCAATCATGTAGTGCCAATATAGCAATGACGGCAAAGAACAGACATGAAACCCACATATGCTCCAGGATTTACCAATCTAAATTTTGTAAAATGACAAATGCAATATCCCACATAATCATGTACAAATTAATTATCCAATAGCCAAAAACACGTGCATAATCAAGATTATGCATTTTGATTATATAATTCTTTGTAGTTATCTTTTAGAAGTTATTCACTTCTTAAGTTTGTTGTAGAGGACTTAACAATGATCTCTTGTATGCTGAAGCATTTTCTTGATCGAGATGTTCTTCATATGACAATTGAGTTATTCGGTAGAAATATTTTGTTAATGCAGACTTACCAACTTCTTTTAGCTTTGTTCCTACATCATTCAATAAATTTATGAAAATAAACTAAAATATAAAGATCAAAACAAGCAAGTTAAAATTTTCTTTTGTGGCATTGATATGAAGATGAGAAGAAACATTTGTAAGTGATGCATTTTACCAAACAATTAGTGGGCATATTAATAAAATCACTTTAAAAATGTGTCTTTTAAACTTTTCCTTGTCCCTTAATGACATTTTCACATCACAAACAATGCTTTATTCTAGTTCAATAAAAATTAACGAATTAAATAGAAATCAAAATGAAAAATAGAAAAATAAACCTAAGACTAAAGGCGGTGACCATGTTATATATAGTCTTGATTTTTGTCACGATCTTATGGTATCCATAGGTAGTCGTGTATAATACTTCCACTTACTCTTTGACACAGACAAGGAAAAAACAATTTTTTAGGTTATTAATGATCAAAAGAATTTTTTGAGCACTTAAGAGTAATTTAAAATATCTGTTTGCTCCAAATAACTTCAGAATTGCAATTGCAGGTTTGCAAACTCCGCCACGATTTAAACAGAAACTCCAAATCCTGCACTAAAATCAAAAAATGTAGTTAATCTTAAGGATTAGCCACGGATTACGATTGGGAGCACTGTCAAGGAGATGACCTTGTGCTAAAAGGGAACATTGTGAAGCTTACCTACCGTTTATATTGCAGTTTCTTGCTAGAAACCGAGTCAATTGACAGCGTACGGAGGGTTCTCGTAACTAATGGATGCCAGAGACTCAAAAGAGAAAGGAGAGAGATAGAAGAGATGTTGTTTGACGATGGTTGATGGTGTACAAAGTTTGTCGGCAGAGAAGACATCGTAGGTGTCACGTTGCAATGGTGGAGCCAAAATAAGGTTAAGGTTTGTGTGATTTTAGGTTACTAATGCAATCCAAATTTGTAAATTATGGAGAGGTTATGAAATAGGGTTAAGATTCGCGTACGCATTTTTCAAAAGGAGTTTAGAATTTCTTTTAGATGATATCATCAAATTGATTATAGGGTGGAAAACTATAAAGGAAAGTCAATCAAAGGTTTTGGTCGTTGAAGATGATGTAATCCGATTTCTCTTTTGCTAATATTTAAGGATATTAAATACATATCATTGTTGTTAATCAAAATAAGTTTAAGAGTGCAAAATAAATAATCGTTAGCCAAAAATATTCCGAAAATATTGGTAAGATTTTTTAGGATAAGAGGTATAATTTACACGAGTCAGTTAATTTATCAAGGAAAAACTTCGATTCCATTTAATATCCTAAAAAAAAAGACAATTGTTTTCGAGTTCCACATTTTGTAAAATATAAAATAAAAAATAAATATCGTTCAAGAGGCGCTTCAAGTTCAACTCTTGGATGGTCTCATGATTTCGGGTTTACTTTGGGCCCATTGTTTGATTAATGTAATAATGTCAAATTCATTAAAGCCCAAATGATAATTTGATCAGATTTTTTTTTGTAATCAGTGATTGTAACATGTACGTCCGAGATTTGCTAGTAACATGAGGTGGCGAACAGTACTCCTGAAAAATTATTTTATATATATAAAAAATATTATTTATAAGCATTTTTTATGTTATTATACCCCCAATTAAAGAGATTATAACATGTTTTTTAACACCCAATATTGGATAACTACATATAATATATATTGACAATGTTTGTACACCCATATCAAAATTTCTGATTCCGCCACTAGTAACATGGTGTATTTGTTATGACATTTCAAAACATAGATATAATACGTTGTACAAAAGTACTCTTAATAAGCATTTTTTGTACGAGGTAATTGTTCTTGAAAGTTAGAGGTATCTATAAAACGGTTTGGTTCACTTATTGATCAATATCGAACCATAATCAATACAAGCAGTTAATGTATTTCGGTAGTCATTAGATCTCGGTTATTAATGGCTTCTGTTAACGGTTTTATTGGTTAAATCGGTTGTGGCTACTAATTATTGTCGGTTTCAGAAAAATAAAAACTACAAAAGTAAATTACATCAATTAAAAGTTAAAACATGAAACGAAATTAAAAAACATGTGTCTTTTACATTTTCACTGCTAAAAAATGTAATCATCAAATGGGCATTTAGCCTTATCCTAAGTTATCAGAATTTATGAATTAGAATGACAATTGATATAATACCGCAACCAACAAAACAACATTAATAGTAAATTGTTTAGAATTCGATTGGTATTTTACTCTATTAGGTATTTCTCTTTGATTATTTTTTAAGTTATTAGGAATATTAAGTTACTAATCTATATTTACTATTCTAAAATTCTAAATTATTAAAAATCGGTTCGGTTAATATTGGGGCGTTTTTCTTATAAAATCGAAACCGCACCATTATTTTTCGGTTAATATAAAATAGAAACCAAACAATCTGTTTAAAAATATGGTTCGTTTATTTCAGTTAACTTGGCTTCGGTTCGGTATTTCAGTAATTATGCCAACCCCTATTAAAAGCTATTAGACGTTAGTTGCTGATAAGGTTGCCTTATCCTATGCATCACACTCGTGCCACTCACTGACCATATAACCATCCTTCTATAACCAAGATGCAATACCTCGACCCAACCGGTCTCCCCCTGTCGAGAGTTACTCAGGCCCAACCTTGCTTTGGACCCAACGGTCCTCCTCCCATAACAGGAAAATGTTCTCTGATAACACTGACTGCCTTGCCCTAGGCACGAGCTGATCCTCTTTTACTCCAACGACCACCCCAATGATGGTCTACCTTAATCTAGCAAATACTACGATCCCATCGTAGACTTACAACATTTCCACAACTGTCCAATATTCGGGTGAATGCAACGACCACCCCCCCCCCTTTTTTCAATCTTATGATACTGCTATTCCTCCATGGTCACTGCCCATGGTCTTACCATACCTCTACCATACCGACCGAAATCATCCTGAGTCGAACCCGTATCCAACTATATCCCAATCATGTGTTCGAGTCATGCTTCAAACCCCAAATCCTTAATCAGACAAGCGCATGCAGAGAGGTCCTAACACCACCTGCAACCTGGATCCATCCATATACCCGCTATGCGTCACTACTGATGTGCAACAAGACCCGAATATCCTTTCTTGTGCAATCCCTTAGACCAAAAGATTTTCCCCCACTAGGGTTCGACTTCGCCTTTCCAATCCTCAAGATATGATGGATTTCCAATCCATCTCACAACCTTATGATTCAAACTGTCAACAACCTCAGCTTACAAATTTCAGTGTTCCATTACTAGCCAATGTCGATGATCGCATAACTCTTGAAATCCATGTTAATACTCCCCGAAATCTCATCAAGTCTGATAACCCCAATCACTTCCTATGACACCGCACCAAATCCTTAAGTCCAATATGCTGGTGACAAAGACTATAACCCTTGACCAAAACTGGAGAATCTTCACACCAATCTTCCCATTCTCAGAAGGATCTATGCATTTAAACCATCTTTAACCTTCGTGATTATGAAATTCCCCTGCCACCACCATTATCTTGTTACCGCTCCTTACCTAGAAACGGTAGTGATTGGACCCAAAGGCCCTTCAATGGACGAATGTCATTCCTACTTCAGCAAACACTAACACGTCTGAACTCTGCCTTCATTGTTGAACTAATCCAAATAATTCATCCATAGACCTTCCAAACAATACCCCCTGAATTGACCCCATCAAAGAACCGGAACAACAACCGATCAACTAAATCCCACTCCGCAAGATACTACCCTTTAATAATTCTTGGCATGAAAAAATGGCATTTAACAATTCTTGATGATATAACCCAGGAAAACCAAAGAACTAAACCAAAGATGATGCATATATATACCAATACAAGATTCCAAGGCAAATATAAACACTGACAATAAGCATGAAGAAAGCAAAAGATACATACTCGCAATAGAACCTGATGAAACTCTGCCCCCCCCCCCCCTGATTGACACTCAAATGCTCGGCTCCTCCCTGTTGGGGCTCATGTCCTACCCTCACGACCGCCAATGATCCTCAAAGCAACCAGAGCATGTGCACTTACTACTCCACCCTTCAACGTCAGACAGTCGGCCTTCTTGTGGCCCACCTAGCTATAGTGAAAACACATTGGAACCGACCGATGGGGGAATCCTTACTAAAAAGACCCATCTGACCACACCTGAAACATCCTCAACCTGTCTCTCAACATCCTCCCTCATGGGTCCTCTAAAACTTGGCATAACGACCCCAACCCCGATGGCCTCCCCAACGTGAGTCTTGAGTCTTCAGTCTCTTCACCTGGCTCGCTAAAAACTGAGACTGCTCTAACTTCCTCTTCCCGAGGTGCTCCAAATCAATTTCACACTCTCGAGCTCTAGCAATCATGTCATTCAGGATCTATCACCCTGAAAAACTCACCAACTCCATGATGAACTCCATCAGCATGTCATGGTACATGACCTTCTTCATCCCTCGTCTACTGTATACTATGGAACTAACAAAGCTCTCTCCCAGAACTTGGCAGTGATCTCTACCACAATCTCAGTCGTTTGGCAAAATACCTGAAACTACCTTGCCAACTATTGCACCTCAAGATTTGGTGCAAAATCGGCCCTAAACTGGATCACAAACTCATACGAAGTCATCGTCTCTAAGGATTTGCCTCCCAAAGAGAAGTCTACCTCCCCCCACCAATCTCGGGCTCTGTCTTTTAGAAGACAGGAGGCAAATCTGACATTCGACCCCTCAGGCCAAAAACTCGTCCGGAAAGCATTATCCATAACCGCTAACCATCTTCTACTGGCAATGGGGTCCTTTTCCCCAAAGAACTCGAGAGCTCCACAAGCACGAAACTCATGGAAGGAAAGAGCACAAGCTCCAATAATAGCTATAACCTTAGTACGAAACGCGCCCAAACGCTCATCCAAAATCTATATAATCTCCTCCTTGACCGTACCAAGAATCATCGGAGTTTGCTCCAAAATTCTGCGGTTAATCTCCGACGAGATGAACTCCCGTATTCACTCATCGATCGACTCAGTATCTACACTTGAGTCGGAACCAGAACCTGAACCCCCTTCCTGAGTGCTCATCACCATTCTGAAAAACAACCATGCAAATGATCAGAACGTAACCATGAATCCTTATCCAACAAGCTTCCTAGACTCTCTGTGACTCTCCTCGATTCGAGTATGGATCCTGTGATTTCTGTAGTACGGGCCCAATACTACCTTCCACACCTATCCATACTTTCCTCAAGAATCATCCTGAATCCTCCAAGTTACCTTCTTAAACCGATACTCCAAGTACTCGCTAAACAGTGCATGTCAACCCACTAAAACTCATCCTAGGCTCTCCTAGGTTCCAACCTCACCTTGCCATCAGTTGCAGAAGAACTCCCAATATTTTCAGGTGACTACTTCATGAATACAGTCACATGTATCAAATATAAGATAATCCTTTGAGTGAAAGACTCGTCCCTACAATGGTTGGAATCAAACAAGAGCTGCACACTAAGTTCAAATATGTCACTATGAGATTATTTAACCTATGGTACATGTGACTTAACATATTCACTCAATAGTTAGCTCACATCATCATGAGTCGCACAATGCACAAAGCAAGCAACATTCATGCAGTAACACTCTAAGTCATAGCCAAACAGAGGACACCTCAATCTCACTTCCTACCAAGAACGATTTGAAATCTAGCATATCCAATTCCTCATAGGCTATAAGGCATCACATATCAGGACAATCCATCCACCACACATTTCTACAACCAAGTAACATGAAACATGTTATAGATCTAAGTAAACAACTCGGGAAGATCCCGTCGATAAGCAACCTCGCCCACCCATGCCAAAACCCTAAAAATAATCGATGTACCTGGGGTAACCACCATACTAATTCCCGCCATCAACTGCATCAAGAACTTCCCCTAACATCCTCTAACTGGCTCATGAATACAATTACATATCACCAACACAATA